ACTTCGGGTCTACAACCGGATATGGTTCAGTAACTCTATCGTATGGTCCTGTTGACAAGGTTTCTACATGCATCAGTTCTTTGGTGGGTTAGAAGCCAGTTGAAAACGGTGAATTTGAAACTTGAACAACTTCAAGCAATGGTGTTTAGAGAGATTACTGGCGCAATGAGAACCACGCCAACTTCTGCGTTAGGTTTCTTACTGGCGGAGGAACCTCTACATATTTTAACGGTTAGGAAGGCTTCTCTCACAATGATCAGACTTCAAGCACAGGGGAAATTGACAGCTAGAGGAAATCACACAAAACTCCCGGTCTCTATACTGAAGATCCCAGAAATCAGTATGGGACAGGATAGAATGGTCAAAAGAGTGAAATTCAAACTTCACTTTAAGACCATTATTCCTTTGAGAAAAGATTGGAAAAAGAGCTGTCCACTTGGAGGTGAAGTATGGTTTACGGATGGATCCAAGATAAAAAGAGGCACAGCTTTGGGTGTATACTGTAAGTCTAATGCAACTGAACTGACATTATCTTTAGGTAATTAAACCACGGTCTGGCAGGCAGAGTTCTATGCTGTAATGACTTGCGCAATAATTTGTCTTGATAAAAGGAAATCTGGCAAGAGAATTAATATCTGTGTCGATAGACAGGCGGCTTTAAACGCCTTGAGTAATCCGTCTATAGAGTCAAAACTAGTTTGGAAATGTCGGAAGGTATTGGACGAGCTAGGTTTGAAAAATAAGCTCCCATTAATCTGGGTACCAGGACACTCTGGAATAAGGGGAAATGAGGAAGCGGATATCTTAGCCCGTAGAGTGTCTGAGATGACTATGATAGGCCCGGAACTGGCGGTAGGCATAATGCCAGGCGCGATGAAAGGGGCTATTGAAAGATGGTCTGGGAGATGTCCTGAGGGAGAGTGGGTGGAGACTACTGTAGGTAGACAGGCCAAGGCTCTATTGGGATTAAAACACAACAGGGGCTTTGCCGAGTCCCTTTTAAAACTCAACAAGATCAGAGTTAGAGCAGTGGTCAGGCTGCTCACAGAACATGGCCTCCTAAACTATCATCAGCACAAAATAGGTAGCAACGTCTCACCTAGGTGCAGATTGTTTAATGCAGAAAAGGAATCTTCGACTCATATTTTATGTCACTCATTAGCTTACGCTGCAGTGAGACATCAATGGAGGGGTCATGCCTTTATAGGCCCAGATAGGATTCTCGACCTCTCGGTAGAAAAGTTACTGGACTTTTGGAATAGGACAGGACTCTAGGGAGAGAGACTGGGATCGAGCTTTCCGGGGTTAGGTGCAATTGGTCTTGCGACTTAAGTGCCAACACTCGTACTAGGGGACTTCGGTATAAGCTTGTTTTACAGTAGATTAGATCAGAAGTAAAGAGTTTTAATGATCACAAATTATTAAAATTTCAATTTTACCTGTACAAGAATATGTACAAGAACATGCCCACATAGCACCATTATTTCCAGGAAGTTTCCAGGAAAATTGACAAGGTAACTTCGGAAATTTCCACGGGTACCTACCTGGAAACTTCCTGTGTACTTCCATGAATCTAATAATGTCTTATATTCGGCAATTTCTTTGGTAACTTCCTGTTAACTTTGTCAAAATTATAGGAGTAAATTTCCCGAAAAGTGCAGAGGAAATTTAATAAAATTTTAAATTGTTAGTTTCCAAGAATTTTCTCTCAAATTGTCTCCGTTATTATTATTTTATTATTAAACTATTATTTATTTATATAATATCTTTTTAAATTTATTTATTATTAAAGTTAATAAACATAAAAATAATATTTATAAATTTAATGAAAAAGAATTACTCATTTCATTTCTTTCTTACATTGTTGCCGTGCCTTCTGTTTATTTATTCACAACGTTAACGCAGAAACTATTGAAAATAGTTTTGGAGGGACTGGGGATTGAACCCGGGTTCACCGCGCATAAAGAAGCAACCTAACCAACTAATCTAACTAACCAAGTGTGGATGGAAAAAAATCTTTCCCTTAAGCTGCAAGTGATCTCCCATTGGTCAACACGTTGTTGACTAAAACGGCGGGCTAATTCAAAAGTGGTTCCAAAGAAACACTTGAAAATTCTCATTATAAAAATTAATTCAACTATCATATAATCTAAAAAGTTTATTATAATAAATTTTAAAAACTGTAAATTATGAAAAAAATCCATTTTTTAATCTAAAATAGTGTTAAAAAAATTTATTTTTTTATCAAAAATAGTGTTAAAAAATTTTTTTAATCAAAAATATCGGTGAGAAAAAATAATATTTAAATAAAATGAAAAAATTATATTTTATTATCAAAGTGGTGTTAAATTCAATTAATTTTTAAAGGAAAAAAAAGTATTTTTTATAAAAGAAATTATTTAGTTAATTAAAAATATTGTTAAAAAACATTAATTTTTTTAATCAAAAATGTTGTTGAATAAAATTAATTTTATTGGTCAAAAATATTAGTGAAAAGAAATTAATTCTTTTTATAAAAAATATTGCTGAAAATGATTAATTTTTTAATCTAAAATATGGGTAGGAAAAGTATATTTTTTTCGCCATTGACATGAAAAAGTGTCTTTTTTGTGCCTGTTTTGGACAGATAAAGTAGCACTTTTTAAGGTAGTTCGGGCCAACTTCCTAAAAAAGACTTTTTTAGGCAGAAAACTTCCCTATAAAGTCTTTTTTAGGCAGTAAACTGCCTTATAAAGTCTTTTTTAGGCAGTAAACTGCCCTATAGTCTTTTTTAGGCAGTTGTTAATTTTTGCATAATTTTTGTAATAATATATAATATATATAATATATTTCTTTAAAATTGTTTCACTTTTTCATAACAATGGCGAAAAAAATAGCGTATGTGGCTCGCACGTAGTAATTTTTAGGTTCGGATGATTTCAATACTCGCTGTCTGTGCGACTTCGGTTCGACTCGACTCGCCTTCGGCTAGTCTTCATCTCACCTACAGCTCGCCTTCGTCTCACCTACGTCGCACTAACGACAGCTCGTACTGAAAATTACATCCTCACCTAAAAAGTGAATTTCGAAAAGGGCTCAACTCTAAAAAGGCTAAGAGTCATTTTCACTATCAATTGTTATGCGAAAATGACACTTACGCTTTTTCGAGTTGAGCCCTTTTCGAAATTCACAATTTAATTATTTGGACAGTATTGCCAAGCTTTTATCTTGACAATTGAAAGAAAGATAATTCAAGTTATCGCTCAATGCATAAAAACTTAAAAATCAAAGTCAAACTGTTTCAGTATTTTGTCTCGCATTTCAAAGAAAACAGACTTAAAAATCATACCAAATTTTTTTCTTATTCCTCAAGACTCCCATAACAGAAATTCACTTGAATTTTTGTTAATTTGCTTAATAATGGCAAGCTGTCCCCATTTACCGCAAAAATTTGAAAACTCGGGGTAAATGGGGACAGCTTGTTATAATTATTAACCAAACTGACAAAAATTAAAAATTCAAGTGAATTTCTGTTATAGGAGTCATAAGAAATAAGAAAAAAATTTGGTATGATTTTTAAGTCTGTTTTCTTTGAAATGCGAGACAAAATACTGAAACAGTTTTACTTTGAGTTTCAAGTTTTTATGCATTGAGCGATAACTTTTTTTATCTTGCTGCCTTTTGTCAAGATAAAAGCTTGGCAAAACTCAAAACCTCTTGCAGGTGATCTGAGATTAAAATATTGACGTTGAACTTAATTTTAAAACTCAAAATTAAGCTTCAAAACCTCTTGTCCCAATTTACCTCAACTGACCCTAATTGTTTTTATAAAAAATATTGTTGGAAAAAAATTAATTTTTTTATCAAACATATTGTAGAAAGACAATAATTTTTTAAAAAAATTAATTTTTCTCAACAATATTTTAGATTAAAAAATTAATTCTTATCAGCAATATTTTTTCTAAAAATAATTAATTTCTTTTCACTAATATTTTTGATCAATAAAATTAATTTTATTCAACAACATTTTTGATTAAATAAATTAATGTTTTTCAACAATATTTTTAATTAAATAAATGATTTCTTTTTCGAAAAAAACTTTTTTTTTAATAATTAATTCAATTTAACACCACTTTGATAAAAAATTAATTTTTTAACCCTATTTTTGATAAAAAAAATTAATTTTTTTAACACTATTTTTTATTTAAAAATGAATTTTTTTGCATAATTAACAGTTGTTAAAATTTATTATATTGAACTTTTTAGATTATATGATAGTTGAATTAATTTTTATAATGAGAATATTCAAGTGTTTCTTTGGTTAGGTTAGTTGTTTAGTTTGTTTCTTTATGCGCGGCGAACCCGGGTTCAATCCCAGTTCAATAATAAATAAATTTAAAAAGATATTATATAAATAAATAATAGTTTAATAATAAAATAATAATAACGGAGATAATTTGAGAGAAAATTCTTGGAAACTAACAATTTAAAATTTTATTAAATTTCCTCTGCACATTCCGGGAAATTTACTCCTATAATTTTCAGGAAGTTAACTGAGGAAGTTAATAGGAAGTTACCAAAGGAAACTGCCGAACATAAGACATTATTAGATTCATGGAAGTACACGGGAAGTTTCCAGGTAGAAATGTACCCATGGAAATTTCCGAAGTTACCTTGGACATTTTCCTGGAAACTTTCTGGAAATAATGGTGCTATGTGGGTGTACATTTTTTTATACAAATATTAAATATATTTTCTTGTGCAAGATCTTGTACAAGTTATGATACAAGAACTTGTTCCAAATTCTAATACCGTAATTGTATACATTTTCTTGTACATGTTCTCACCAGAATATGTACAAGTTCAGCTGCTGAACATGTACATTTTTCTTGTAGAAGATATTGTACAGGGATTTTCAAAAGGGACTCATAGAGTGAATTCTCCTTATTCTTACTGTGTGTATATAACTAAATATAAAGTAATTAATTAAATTAATTAAAGCAATATTTTTAATCACTCACCATGCAAGGGCGCTGTGTAATTCTCTGGGTCGAGAAATTTTTTCATGGGTAAGGACGACGCCAAAATAGGATTCATTAGTATTACGTGTAGATAATTCTAAAAAAGAATACTTATATTTAAAAGTCTATTGTGTTTTCTTTCTTTTGGTAAATAATTAATATTACAGTTTAATTCTTTTATAATTTTTTTCTTATATTTTAAGAATGATTTTTAAATTAAAACTTTGGTAAAAAGTACAGTGACCGACATCTGCTAATAAAATCGATAATATCTATAGAAATAATAATATTAAATTAAAATTTCAGGTGTAAATTGATTAAGAATACAATACCCTGGCGGATTTGATTTACCTAAATTCGACCCAGCTGGGGCGAATCATAGTCGAATCTAAGTCGAATTTAGGTAAATTATCAAAAAAAGCTTTAAATTGATGAAAATTTATAAAAATTAATATTATGAGGTTAAATGAACATTTGTAGAGTTAATTTATGTAAGAATTTTAATTATTAACGTGATAAATAATAAATAATCACTTGATATGTGCAAGTGGTAACTGTAGATTTTAACTCGTTGTCAGTTTTCATAATATTTTCAAGAAATTAGTGTAAAATGTGTGAAAAAATAATTTATATATAATAGAAATTGCAAATTTTATTAAATTATTTTATTATTTATCGAGCACAGTTTAAAATAATTGCAATTTAATTTTAAAAAAAAAGTTTTCTTAAAAGTGATAAGAACTCTACTATACCGACAGCAAGAGGATACTTTCAGGTAAGTAAAGTTATTGTAGCGTGTAGTTTTGTTGTGACTATAAGATGTCGCTTTAGTTTCTATAGTGATCAGACAGGAACATCGAATTTCATGAATATGTGATCATGAGATGATTTACTTACCTGAAAGTATCCTCTTGCTGTCGGTATAGTAGAGTTCTTATCACTTTTACGAAAACTTTTTTTTTTAAATTAAATTGCAATTATTTTAAACTGTGCTCGATAAATAATAAAATAATTTAATAAAATTTGCAATTTCTATTAAATATAAATTATTTTTTCACACATTTTACACTAATTTCTTGAAAATATTATGAAAACTGACAACGAGTTAAAATCTACAGTTACCACTTGCACATATCAAGTGAATATTTATTATTTATCACGTTAATAATTAAAATTCTTACAAAAATTAACTCTATACCCTGGCGGGTTGTGAAAACCGAATCGCAACCGAATTCGGTTGGGATTCAGTTGGGTTTCAGTTACCAGTGAAAAAAGTAGCGAAAAACGTGAAAATTGCTGGAAAAAACTATTGGAATGAATAAATGAATGATTTATGAGTTTATTCATGCAATAGTTTGTTTAAATTAAGCTTTAGTTAATTAATTATTAATAATAAAAGTCGAAAGGTGCTCACCTGTCACTTTAATGTTTGTGTTATAAGATAGAATGCTACTTTATCGTTAGTGAAATTGCCGCGCGCCAAACACGATAGATGGCAGCACGTGATTCTTCTCTTTTGACAATTTTATCATTTTTAAAAATTAGAATGCAAAATTTTGTTTTACCTTTTCTATTTTCAGTTATTATTAAATTAATCGAGATTAGATTTTATAAAAATTGTTATTATTATTAAAAAAAGGTTTTTTAAATTGTTCAAATAAAAATGCATTTACTTATATTGCAAAACAAACTTAGTATATTTATACCAATGGTAAAATAGAAATTGATAAAAAAATTTTATTAAAAAAATCACTTTTATATTAATGATAATAATTATTATTTTTATCATTATATTTTTCTAAATAAAAATTTCTTGAATATTTAAATGACAAATAATTGTAGGAAACAGTGGAAAGAAAATTGTTTAAAATTTCTGAATCTAACATTTGTTAAAAAATAATTGTTGAAATGTTATTATTTAGAATTGTAATAATTTTAAATTGAATTTAGTTTAATTAAAATTATTTTAATTTTTTTTCGAAAAATTTTATTAAAATTAAAAATATTTCTTAAAATAAAAATTTGCATGCTTTTTTCACATTTTCTGTGTGAGATTTCAAAAACTTTTAGTGACATTTAATCTATTTTTGATGTAATGTAATTATGTAAATTATAAATAATTTTTTTACATAGATATTTACATTTACATTTACCCTACAGTTTATTTATTTCTCAAAACAAATTAAAGTATTTTATTAACAATTATTAATAAACTTATTTTAGTTTTAGAATAAAATTTTGGGTTAAGTTAAAAAATAAATGAAAACTTTAAAAATGATAAAATATTAAAACCAGAAAAAACAAGACGTGACATCTAGCGTGTAATGCGTGCGGCAATTTTTTTATTTGTCATTATAGGTAAAGCAGTATTTTGCTTTAAAACAAACAATAAACTTTTAGTACAAAATGTACTATTTTTATTGTTAATATGCAATATTCAGAACAAAAAAACTTAAATCTGGACAATTTAAATATCCATTAAAAAATAGGTATATGATTTTTCCGTAATTTTCACATTTTCAATTTCAAAATTTAGGAAATAACACGAACATTAAAGTGACAGGTGAGCACCTTTTGACTTTTATTATTAATAATTAATTAATTAAAGCTTAATTTAAACAAACTATTGCATGAATAAACTCATAAATCATTCATTTATTCATTCCAATAGTTTTTTCCAGCAATTTTCACGTTTTTCGCTACTTTTTTCACTGGTAACTGAAACCCAACTGAATCCCAACCGAATTCGGTTGCGATTCGGTTTTCACAACCCGCCAGGGATAAATGTTCATTTAACCTCACAATACTAATTTTTATAAATTTTCATCAATTTAAAGCTTTTTTTTATAATTACCTAAATTCGACTTAGATTGCTCCCCAGCTGGGTCGAATTTAGGTAAATCAAATCCGCCAGGGTATTTAGAAACTGATACCGTTGACCCAAAATTTTATTCGTTTATATTTTTCTAAATATTTTACTTTTTAGAAAACTAACCGCAAAAATTTTGCTTTATTGATTACAAATTTCATAAATATCAAAAAGTGTTAAACAAATTCACTTTAAGGCCAGGTCCAAGTCGTGTCATTGAAAAATAGGAAACCATTGAACTAGACTACAGGTCTAGTAGCCATTGAAACTTCAAAGGAACAGCTGACTCGACTTGGACCTGGCCTTGGCCAGGTCCAAGTGAGGCAGCGCCATCTACATTAAAACTATAATTTTGGAAAATTTTCAACAGCCTTTTCTCGAAAACAAGAAAGTGAAATGCGTTTTTCTTTATGGATAATTGATTATTAGCAAGAAATACACCAGCTAAAACTTTTTTTGGGTTACAATGATGAACAAATTTCATGTCGATAAATTAAATATGAGCAGTTTTTTCACAAAAACTGGAAAATTAATAAACGTTAAACAATACACCAGCTAAGATTCACCAATCAAGAAAATAAGAACAAAAAATTTTTTTACATATTTAACATGTGGACACTGTTTTACTGATTGTGACAGCCCTTTGGTAGATTATGTATTTCAGGTGGTTAGCAACAGCGACAATCTCCTCCTTTTGGCAAAATCGCGAAACGTCTGGTGACATATATAACCTGCCAAACGGCTGTCATAATGAGTAAAATATGTTATGTTAAAAAACTTTTTTTTTGTTATTTTCGTGATTGGTGAATCTTAGCTGGTGTATTTTTTAACGTTTATTAATTTTCCAAATGGAAATTGCATTTTTGATTGTAATTTCTGAGAAAGTACTGTTATAGTTTTTGTGAAAAAAGTGCTCATATTTAATTTATTGACATCAAATTTTTTTCATTATTTTAACTCAAAAAAGTTTTAGCTAGTGTATTTCTTCCAATAACACGGTGCTACAAAATTTTTTTTTTAAATATACTTCTTATGAAACCTATTGGAGGTTGTAGGTCACAAAAAACTAAGAAGAATGGTGTATGTAAAATTCTCCAAACACCCCTAAATTTTCATTTTAGAGCCAGAAAACCATTTTTACGTATGTTTATGCATAAAAACCTTTGTAACTTTCTTATTTCTGCACCGATTTTAAAATTTTTTTCACTCTAAAGCTGAGAAACAGAGCTTTTTAGCCCACATTCGATATTTTGGTTTAAATTAATATTTATAAGAGAAAAATTACAAAAATGTTCAGAAGTTGTCATTTTTCTCGCAATTTTTCAACTTTAACTGATGTTTTCATCATTAATTTTAATTTAAACATTTTTCTCTTCTAGCGCTATTAAAGCGTATTAAATTCTGTATCCAATGAGCCCTATTTGAATAGATTTTGTAAAAAATTAACTGAATTATTGTAGTTTTTCTCTTTACAGGTCTAGTAGCTGATTCAAGAACATTACAGTTTTATTTTATTTTTCATTCTTAATTGTTTATGTATAGTATTTGTCAAGTTCTGACAGTTTTTATTCCATGTTGGTCATGCTAATAACACTGGGTTACAAAAAATGGTCAAGTCGTGTTTATTTAAAATTTTCTGTGTTTATTGAAAGTTTAGGTGTCACTGAACAAGAATATACCCAAAAAAAATTTTTCCATTCGGTCAGTTCCGTAGAAAACGAGATTAAAGTGTCAAAAAATCCTCTTTTTAGCACTTTTTGAAGTGTTGTAAAATGAAAACGCAACAAGATAAAAATCTTCACGAGGGCTTGAATGAAAGCTTAAACCTTCAACTTTGAGTCCCAAAACTGAAAAGTGAATGATAATTGCGCAGAAAATTTATATAACATGAAATGAATATCTCAAATAGTCAAAATAGCTGGGATAGAGAGCACTTGTTAAAAATCGATTTTCATAACCGAATTTATTTGGAACTTGTTACTTGGAAGTTTGTAACGTTTCTATTGACGTTTCGAAAGTTGGATTTAAAATTTTCAAATTGGCGTTCAAAAATTTCAAAAATGGAGTGAATTTTTTCGCAGTTTTTTCCTCGGGGTTTTTTGAAATATTTGAACGCCATTTTTAATCCGCCATTTTGAAATTTTTAAATCCAATTTTCGAAACGTCAATAGAAACGTTACAAACTTCCAAGTAACAAGTTCCAAATAAATTCGGTTATGAAAATCGAT